TTTTTTTTTTTTTTTTTTTTTTTTTTTTTTTTCCCGAGCCAGGATTTTCTTTGTGTATTGCAGCTTATATTTGAAAGTCTCTTGTCCAACCCGAGGACTAGGAAGGGTACTTTTTATTTGTTAAACAGAGAGGGAGATGTCCCTGCAATCCCGAAGTAGTAAGAGCTGGAGTAGCAGGGAAAGCACAGAGCCCAGGATCATTTTGAGCGTTAACTGATAATCATCTGTGGCAAACACCTCTTGTAGCAGCACTCAGATTGTGTTGGTTCAATTAAATAATATTTAGTTCAATTTTGTTTTAAATTTGAGGAACAAAGTCTGTTCAAGCTCCTTGTGTGGACATTTAAATTGGATTAAGAGTGGCTAAAAGGATTAATTATTAACACTAAATTAGACTAATTTTAGCTGTTCCTAATCTTATTTAGGAGAGCCTGCACATGGAGGTTGTCAGGTTTAGTGGCAACTTTGATTAAGCCAGGCTTTATATCTGGGAGAACTGCATGAGTTTAATGTCATCTGGAAGAAGAGCTCTGCCTGAATTTGCAAAGCAGCGTAAGCACCTGAGGCTTAACTTAAATATTGCTGGCCAGGGGAGGGCCGGACGTGTGGCCGCTCAGAGCGGCTCAGGGAGATGATGCTCCGCAGCCCGGCTCCGCTCACCAGCTCTGCACGAGCCGGGCTCGGCCGGGGCCCGGTGTGCCGCGCCCGAGCCACCAGCTCGGGGAAAGCTGCTTGGAAATGCTTTGGGCCGCAGCCGCTGCGGCTCTGGGGTGTAACTCGCCTGCCGGCGTGGCCGGTTTTGCCCAGGGACCACCTCGGCGATGCTCTTGGGCACAGGAGCCCCAGGAGCCAGAGCTGTGCCCTTGCTGAGGGTGGACGTGCTGGAGGAGAGAAGCGGGGAGCGTTTACAGCTCGACAGAAGGGCTGGAGAGGGGTTGGCTTCCCGGGCTGGCCGGTGGCTCGGCTCCAGTTTCAGCTGCGTCCCTTGGCCGGGGCGCAGCTCCGCGCGGGCAGCAGGGTCATGGGCAGGAGCACGGCAGGCGCTGGGCATGCTGCGGGTGCGTGCTGGAGGCTTCGGGGGGCGGAGACCGGTCACCCCAGGGGCTAGGAGGTGCTGAAAGGGAAACAACTGTGGCATAAGGACCAACCCCTGCTGCCAGAGCATACCTCTGTGAAGGTCCAAGAAATCTTCGGGACAGTTGGTCTGCTCGGGCACAAGGTGTGCTGGAGGCGTTGTCTCCCAAAAACACTTGAGTAAAATAGGGATATAAAAAGAAAAGGAAACCTTAAAGCCCAGCGAGCTATATTAAGACCCTGCCCTATTAAAAGTGAATAAAGTGATAAAACTGAGGTTTCATTACCACAGTGGCTTCCGCTGTACTGAAGCACCGTGTGCCCGCTTGGTGCGGGCGCAGAGGAGCCTTCCCACGGGCTGCGGCGGGTACAGGGACAGGAAAACGTGGAGCATGGGATGGCCACGCGGCTCAGCTGCCGTGAGGTGGCCAGTCGGTGGCTGGGCTCTGCTGTGGTGTCTCGAGGAGTGGTGGCTGCCTCCTGGAGAGAAGGAGGAGGTCGCAGAGGAACAGTCAGAGGCACCTAATACTGTCCCTCTTTACCCAGTTTTGCGCCCAGGTGCTCTTCTGGCCGACCTGCTGTAGGCCTGGAACCCAAATTCTGAATCCAAATATTCTTTTTTTTCATTTGATATTATTTACCTTGGAGGAAGGCATTCAGCCGTAATTAACACAATGCTTTTGTTCAAGAACTGTGACTCTGGGCGCCCATCCTGATCCAGCTGGGAAGCCAGCCCAGGCCAAGTGGCACCTTGGCTTTGATGGCCACTGGACACCCCTTCCCACTCGCCTGGGCCATGGCTCTGGGGCTCTGGGTTTTGCAGAGTTGTGGAGGGAAACCTGAGACAAAAATGTGACCTCCGCCATTGGTGACTTTTCCCAAACTGTGGCACAGCACCGTCTCGGTGGGTCTCGGCAGGAGCACTGCTGAGGTGGAATGATGTGTTGCTTCATCTTCCACACGTCTGTGCGCGGACAAGGGTCGGGTGCTGCTGGACTTTGTCCGTGACGAGCACGAGCTCCGCAGTGAGGTCTGGGACGCGGGGCTGTGCTCACCCACACCAGCCCCACGTGCTGCCCGGGGAGGGGAGCAAAGACAAGAGCAAAACACTTGTGTTTTACCCTGGCAGGATCAAAACCTGTGCACAGAGAGCCCCTGGTTTCAATTCCAACAGGTGGGGGGAGGAAAAAGCTGGCAACCAGGAGCAGAAAATAGTGTGACCTCCATTTCAGTCACCACTTGTGTGAAGGAGGATACGTGGCTTAAAGGGGGCTCCTAAACACCCCGTTGGTTTAACTTGGTGCTGTTGATGGTTGGAGGTGGAGGCAGAGTTGCTGTGCTGAGGGACTCGCTGGCCAGCAGCAGTGGGAGCACAGAGACCCCCTCCCTGCTCCATCACCATAGCTGGAAAAGCCTGCGAGAATTCTCCAGACAGCAGCCGGACGTTGCTAATGGAATATTTTCTCCTTTAGAAAATGGGGACGTGACAAAAATAAAGATGTTCCTCCTCCAGGATAACTTTATCAAACCTCCCAGTGGAAAGCAGGCAGGCTTCCCAGCCCGCAGACCCTGCCAGCTTTGCTGCCCGTCCCGGGGTGGGCTGTGCTGCGGGAGGGGGGCAGCTCCAGGCAGGGTCCTGTGCCGGCCCTGTGTGTGTCTGGGCACGTGAAACCCCCTGGATGTGGGAAGAAGTGGTGAGGAAAAAAAGGAAAAGTCTGACCTTGAGGGTAAATACTGACAGTCTTTGCTCTAGCTTTAGTCTGTAGCTGGTGTGTGGCTCCCGAAGGGAGCTTGTCTCACCGTGGCTGGGACTTGGGGCAATGGCTGTGCGTGGATCAGCTGCCCGCTGGCATTTGGCCAGTTGCAGCCTGTACGTAGCAGGTCCCGGGCTGCTGTGCCGGGGGGACCAGTCACCCCCGAGGCAGCCGAGTCCCAGACCAACGCCGGGCACATGCCGTAGTGGGGCTGCAAAGGGAGGCTGAGTCCGAGGGGCATTGCCCTCCGGAGCCAACTCCCAGGGTAACTTGAATTTAAACCTAAACTAGGTCAGCTGGTTTTTGGTTCCAAGTTTTATTTGGTTTCAGAGCAGGTGTGGGGTTTTCAGGACATGAATTGGAATTTTCATTAGAAATGCCTGAAATCCTTTTAAAAAAACCCCATGACAACTAGTAAAGACAGTGTTTTAAATCATCTGCATGTGCTGGAATGAGGAGGTGATTTGCTGGTCAGGTTTTGATGACAATGGGAAATGAAAAGATTATCTGGAGGAAACGTTTTATTACTGAAATCAGCAGAGAACTGTCAAAATTACAACACGGGGCAGCATTTCTTACCCCTGACAAACCCTTCCCAAGTTTCTCTCTCCCGTGAGGCTTGAGTGCTCCCCGCTCCAGGTCCTGTACCTCCTTCCAGGTCTTTCCCACAAGCGTTTGCACATGGCTGACAAGACACACACAGGCTGTACCCGGTCTGGTGATGGAGAGCGTCTGGGGCTTCGTCCCAGCTCTGGGAAGGCAGGAACTGGAGGGGACTGGGACTCCGGACTCTGGAGTCTGCTCTCCCTGTGCCAAGATCCTGCTCAGCATCACTAAGCAAATCTCACTCTGCCTTATTTTATTATTATATTTTCCCCTGTGTAATAGCAGCTGCCCGTATAGCAAATGTGCTTTCAGGCATTTATTAATGCTTCAATGAGAAACGCAACAGCAGCATTAAATATTGCTTAATTTTGCTATGCTCAAGCTATAAAATTATACTCAATTAGCATCCTTTTTCCTTAATGGAGGTTTTGCATTTCAAGAGATTGAGTGTGCTTCCATGCTGTGCTCTTCCCCGGATTTCCAGTTACATTTATGTTCCTCTGAACTCCAGAGAAAGAGAAAAACTGATTGAACACTATGGTTCCAGACTGATCAGCACTGGCTGACTGGTATCATGCTTCAACTAAATCCAAAGCCGCTGAATGCGGATGGCGTCCCTGGAAAAGCTCCAAGAGAAGTACTCGTGTGCCTTTAATCTGAACAAAAAGCTAATGTCAGGTCAGAGGAAGTAAAACAAAGCTACTCATGCAGGAGTCACATCCTTTTCAGCTTTGGCCGCTGCCGCCTGGGTGCGTTTGTTACGGAGTTTGCTCTGGGTGCAGCACCCAGCCGGCTGCCCGAGGATGATGAACCCACGGAGCCTTCCTCCACCGAGGCTCATCCCGCTCCGTCCCCGATGTCGGAGCCTAGCAGGGCTGTGGGGAATCTGACCCCACGTGCCGCATGGGGCCCCGGCTGCCTGTCCGGCTCAGGACCCCTGTTATAAAGCAGAGGCCTGGCAGGTATTGGCCGTTGCAGAATACTGCGAGCTTGTGACACCGAGTGACACGTGTCCCCAGCTGGCAGGGCTGTTCTGCACCCTCCCTCCTTTTTAGGGGGAGATCAGCTGGGATGCATTTCTGTTCTCAGTGCTGGACCTCTTTCCACCTGAAAGTTAAAACCAGCCCAGCAGCATCTTTCCCGGTTGCTGCCAGCGCAGAAGGGTTCCGGCAGGAACAGAAGAGCAGCGTTCCAGCAGGAATGTCCCATCACAGGCACAGGGCTGTGTCTGGGATCTCCAGCCCCAAGTCATGCTGCCCCTGAGCTCCCAGCTGATCACAGCTGATATTTTTTTTCTTCCACGCTTTCATTAATTTGCAGGAGATATTCTGTAAATGAGGCTATTCCTTGCCTTGGTTCTTGTTTGAACTTGCAGAGCCCGACGTTCCAGGTGATGGTTTACTTTGCTTTGGCAAGTCACTGAGGGCAGGCTGGAGGAGGAGAGGATGGATCAAGGTATTCTGGATAATTCATCCAGCTT